AAACCCCACGCCCCAGACCCTAACCCTCAGGCCCCAAACCTCTAAGGCAGCAACCATAAGCAACGACCTAAAGGAAGCCTCCTCAACCCTAAACCGTAATTCCTAAACCCTAACCCCTAATTCCTAAACCCTAAACCCAGCCCCTAATTCCTAAACCCTAAACCCTAAACCCTAACCCCTAATTCCTAAACCCTAAACCCCTAATTCCTGAACCCTAACCCCTAATTCCTAAACCCCTAAACCCTAATTCCCAAACAGGGGGGCCTTCATAGTTCCCGGCATTACCCACGACCTTCGGGAAGGGAAGAATTTGCTCCAAAAGAATTGGCTGGCTTTTTTTGGAGGGTTTTAGGGTTTGAGGTTTAGGGATAGGGGTTCGGGGTTTAGGGTTTAGGGTGTTCCCATTTTGGGGGGGGGGTTTCTCTCAGGGTTTCTATAAGGGCTTTGGGCTTCGAGGGTTTGCAGCTGCAGATTTTGGGGTTGGAGTTTCGGGGTTTATCGGCTCTCGGGTTCATTGTTTGGCGACTTTTCCCTACTTGGAGGTTCATGGGTAGTTATAAGTGGGATTTTAAGTCCCCCAAAATGGGTTCTAACTATAGTTACCCTACTTATAACCCCACTTATAACTACCCATGAACCTCCAAGTAAGGGCCCATATAAATAGTATATACTTTGGCCTCAAAGTAGTCCCTGTATAGGTACTCTGGGGCCAAAGTATATACTATTTGGTTACATGGACCCTTAGGGTTTTGATCTACAAGTACCTTTGAATCGAACCCTTATGGACCTTAATATTGCTTCATAACTCTAATCAATGACGCACAGTGTCCGTGTGCCAGTATACGGAGCTGTCAGTAGATGTCTGGGCCACCAGTTGAGGGTCTAGGTGGGGCTTGTGGTCTGGGGCTGCGCGCTGATCCAACAAGAATTGATCGCTAATTATAGGGTTTAGGGTTCAGGGTTCATGGATACTTCATGATGAACCCTGACGCTAAACCCTACACCCTAATTCTGCTAGGGTCGAGGGTTTGGGCTCTGGGGTTTAGGGTCAGGAAAGCATCTAGACTGCGTGACCGTGACAAGCGAAGCTTTGGCCGTCCCAACAAAAGGGTTTAGGGTTCAAATGCAAGCATGCAGCAATGTGGGTGATGCCACACTCGTCCTTGGAGAAGTTGAAGACGGGGTGCGAACGCTCGTAGCTATGGACGTGGCCGTTGAAAACGATGTCAACCCCATGATTGTACAGCATTTGCTCCATGTCCCACTGATGCTTGATCCTTCGGGCCCAGATGATGGGTGTGCAGGGCATAGGGCTGAAGTAGGGTTTCGGGGTCCAGTGCTTTGGCCGCTAATGTGCATGCTCTCATCGCTTTTATTTGCGTTTGACATGTTCGAGCTCCGGTTTGATGGGAAAGTATTTACGAGTGGCTACCCATGGGCCCCTAAGTAGTTCCTTTCTGTGGTTTATATTATATTAGGGCCTATGCGTGGAGCGACTACAGAAGTTATGCAAGAAGCGGGAAAAGCCAGCAACACTAGAAGATTGCTCCAGGTTGCAACCCGAGAAGCCCCTCAAGATAGTGGGCGTTGTTGCTGTTGTACCAAGGGGTGTGGAACATGACGATGACCCAGGGGGTACGTGCTCGATTCACTTGTCGCAGCTTCTCCTCCACGAAAACCCACTGCGCCGACCCTGCATCTGTCTCGGAATAGCTACCTGCCATTCCAATCACAAACACAGGTCCGCTCTCATGGGCAAACATGAACGGGCTCTCTGAGCCAGACTCCCGGAAAGGCATCGGATAACGATGGATGAGGTCGATGCCGTTGTTCTGAATGATCTCATGGTTACCCGGCACAGCAAGATGATAGCGGCTAGACATCAGCGGCTCCATCATCACGCCGAAGATATCCCAGCGCTCCGCCCAACCATCTGCATAGGAGAGGTCGCCCACAGTGAGCAGGAGGTCCGGATCCAACTGCAACATCTTCGTCATAACGGAAAAGCTCACATTCGTTACACCAACGTCTGCCCAAACTCCCAACTTGTAGGGGCCCAGCGTACCAACGTCCGGTGGAGTCCGGAAAGAAAACCTCCGAGAGCTACCCTCGGGTTGAAAATTGTAGTCCGTGGCCCCCCGAAGGTTGGTCAGTGTCACAGAATGAATGTAAGGGCTGGTATAGTAGGCCTTCGGATTCTTGTAGTCGATGCAGTAGTTCGTCCTCATGGAACAAGGATTGGCGGCTTGGGACAAAATAACGCTTTGGGAAGGTCCATGACTATTCCAGATCGGGTTTTGCGCTGCGAGAATGACCCAGGCCGGGAATCCGCAGCATTTGCAACACGATGTCATTATGGCGAGGCTCCCATCACAAGAAACCAAGCTGACCGAAAGACCGTAGATGCAAATCTGTTGAGCAAAAAAGGGAGCAATCCTCCAACTTCAACCCTTACCTAAAAGCCCCAAAGCCCAACAACAAACCCAGAGACCCCAAAACCCCTTGATTAAAGAAGATACCTTAACTTACATAATAGGAACCCCCAATAAGATTTAAGGTATATTCCGGCATATTCCTTACTTAACGGGTTTTGGAGTCTCTTGGCCCTGGGAACCCTAAACCCTAAACCCCTTAAACCCTAAAAGCCCGCAGCCCAACAACACACCCTGCCCCCCAAAACCCCAAACCCCAAACCCTAAACCCTAAACCCTAAACCCCAAACCCTAAACCCTAAACCCCTGGGAGTCTACTCTAAAGCAGAAAACCCAAATTGCTGTGAAGCCCCAACCCTGAGGCCATGAAACCGTAAGCCAAACCCCAAACCCAATCGCTGAACCCCAAACCCTGACAGATTAGGGTTTGGGGCTTCGGGGTTCAGGGGTTTAGGGGTTTGGGGGCTTGGGGGCTTAGGGGCTTAGGGGTTTAGGGGTTTAGGGGCTTAGGGGTTTGGGGTTTAGGGTTTATAGGGGTTTAGGGATTTAGGGACAGATAAGACTTCCGTTTACGTCCTGTGTCCTGGCTAGGAAATCCCATGGATCACCTTCCGGAGGAAGGTACCTCAAACGCAGATACTTGGAGGATCAAGGGACTTAGTAGGTAAGGTTATACGAACCTATTAATTGGGGTTATAAGTAGTTAAAAGTGTAACTACCTAACTATAACCCTAGTCTAAACCCTAAACCCTAAACCCTAGTTGCTGTGGTCCCATGAGCCTTTAAGTAAGGGTACCGGGATTCAGGGTTTCAGGGTCTGTGGGGCTACCTGGCACCCAAACAACCTCCCTTTTTAGGGCTCCTTATTGGGTTTAGAGTTTAGGGTTTAAGGTCTATAGGGCTTTTACTCCCTTCTTCAATAACCAAGCCCAAAGAAGTTCAACTTTTTAGGATACGTAGTCCGAGAATGAAAAAATATATATATATATATACAATATAATATATATATATAAGGCCAAAAAGTTTAAAGTTCTCCTACTGGCCATCTAAGTTATTATGATTTCCTTGTGCATGTCCGTAAAAAGGTAGGTTATTTGGGGTTAAGGTAGGGGTTACAGTAATGGCTAAGACGGCTAAGATTTAGGCTTTAGCGATTAAGGGTTCAAGGGTCCAAGGGTTTAAGGTTTCAAGGGCTTCAGGGCAACCCTGTGCCCTACACCCTCACCGAATCACAAGAGGCTTCGGTGCCCGTTGTCCCGCTCTCTCTCGCACTCTCTGTCTCTCTCTCTCTTTCTTTCGCCAGGGCTAGGGCCAGGAGGGTTGCTGTCTCTCCTTCTTTCTCTCGCTCTCGCGCCTCTCTCTCACTCTCCTGCTAGCGTACAGACCTAAACTCGTGTTGCGCGGGTGGTTCCTGTATTCGGGTCCCTTCCGGGGCCAGGATCCTGACTTTCTGGCACTTTATGACATTCCCAGGTACCGCCAGGAATCGCTGTCCTTAGGCAGGAAGGAGGAGGAGTTTATCAGCGCTGTCAGCTGGTTGAAGTCAAACGCGATGTTCCTCACTGCTCAGGTTTAACGGGCTTTATAAGGCTTTATAAGTTACGGTGTGTATTGAGGTTGCTTAAAACTGAGGCTAGCTTGCAATGGGTGTCCATGATAACCTGCCACTATTTCCTACGGTCGATGATATAAGTCCCACATTACCCATCATACGAATGTACCATATTTCCCATAGTTTAGGATCCTTAAGGTAATGCAGGGTTTATATCATCAACAGTAGTACTTAGGCTCCATGTTCGGCTCCCGTCTTCTCTCAAGCTCCCGAATTTCGTTCAGGTGTCGAGTCAAACCATGAACCCAACCTTGGATACTGCCCCCCACTCAGTAACAGTTGAGTAATATTCATAATATGAAGATAGAAAAAAAATATATATATATATATGGCCCCTTAATAGTAGCCCTATTATAGACTGTTATCATGTACTGGGGACAGTACCCAACCTCAACCCTGCGTTGGAATTCACCTTACACTTTGCCACGATAGCTCTAGATAGACTGCGAGGATGTTGGATTTTTCAGGTTTTGGTTTAGGGCTTAGGGTTTTGGGTTTGGGAGTTTAGGGTTCAGGGGTTTGGGGGTTTTGGGTTAGGTTGTGTAGGAGTTGCACACTTGGCTTTGGGACTCTGGCTAGTTGCAGTGGTGGTTTCAATCTGAGTAGCTTCCCTCCCAAACCTACCTAGCAGCAACCAGAGACAAAAACCCTAAACGCTACACAGTGAACCAAAACCGACGTCGTACGGGCCTCCGCTCTACTTTCTTCACAGTGTTTGGTAATATAGGAACCTGATTAAGAAACCCTGGGTCTTTATTAGGGTTCTTTGTATGAGCCCTAATATATTGGGATTTTTGGGGGGCAGGGTTTCTTAATGAGGTTCCTACAGTA